AAAAAGGGAAATTATTCAAAAAATATGCATGTATGTACATATGTACCAAATTAATAAGTCTTTTTTTTGTGGACACTTTAGTATTTCTTCAGCTTGTTGTCTTGACTGGACTGAGGATGTGTGTCCTTTACGAGTCTTAGACTCCAGTGCATTACATTTTTATTAATTTCGCGATGCAGAAATATTATCAACGGAATATATCTGCATCGTGCTGTTTCTATGACTTTTCTGTGTCTATTTTCGAAAGTGCTACTTACGTGTGAAATTTAAGTTAATTGATGCAGATACTTCGCCCGACTTGTTCTTGGCCTTGACTTTGTAAAGGCCCGCATCGGTTTCTACCACATCGTCGAGCTCTAATACTACCGTAAATTTATTATCTCCAACGGGTTGAATTTTGAATTTGGTCCGACCATCTTCTACTAATTTGTTGTCACTACGAAACCAATCAATGTCCGGTTTCGGAGATGACAATAACTGGCACTCAAATATCAATCGATTGCCATCATCCTCCTGATGTAACTGTGGCTTTTTGACAAAGCTGGGAGCGAAGTCTTCAGCCACCCCCATGCTGAGGGTTTTCGTTATGCTTCGTCTTCAACGGCTTTGGCTCTTAAGCTCTAGAGAAATTAACACAAAGTATACATATCAACATACCATGCCGTACAAAATATACTAGTACTATTAAGTCAAAATTAAATATTAAGATCTCCTCGATCTTGAAGTCCCTAAGAGCTAGAGCCACCAAAATAGGAGCGAATGCCCCCATCTCTGTGTCAAAAACATAAAATGTAGGACTTAAGCCGCATGACAGAATTAAAGCGGCTAGTATCCTCTTGTACTCCCTGCAGTTATTTAAGTTAGCAACTTAAGTTGTTCTTGAGCAACAATTTTAATTTTTTGTATTCCCCATAAACAAAAAAAAGTGTTATTTTTCTTCAAATTTCTGTCTTTATATTTCTTTATATTTATATTTTGACTTTAAAAAAAATACCATAAATATGGCGAAACAAAATAATAGCACCATTGGACCTATTTTAAGTGAATCTCCGTAATTTCGTGGAATAGACTTTGTATAAAACACGTATTTATTAGTTTTGACTAATCTAATCTTTCATTTTTTCTATCATAAAAGCTAATAATAATCATTACAATAAGACGTGGAATACTCTGAAATGCGAAGAAAAAAAATGACTTAAAAACTTACAGAGAATTTGGTCAATTGGTAGGAAGTTTCAATAAAATGATTAAAAACGCCTTAAACTATGAAGAAAAGTGTGAAGCACATGAATGTAAACGATCTATGACTCCTTTTAGGGTCAAGCTTAAAAAAAGAGCTTAAAATAAAAGGGATGGGCTACAAAGTTCGGATATATCTTAGCCAGCATAGCCTAAAAGCCTACTGCCCAAAAAAATTGCACTTTTAAACGCCAGACATATTACTAAGTATATGATGTTTGCAAAGGAGCATGCCAATTGGACATCCCTATAATGGAGGAATATTTTACTTAAGACGTCTAAGGAACACCAGTACACCAAAGAAAACCATTCAAAATAAAATGTTTCATTTAATGGTAGTGGGTTCAATATATTGAATAAAACCCATCAAGGCTCAGCACGCTACCTTAATGTACGTGGATTTCATGGAGACTGTAATGCTACCGTTTGCAGGATATGAAATGCCAATATTATGGGTCTTTCAACAGGTAAATAGTCCAAGCATAAAAGCAAAAGAACGGTTTGGGGCCAACACTGACCATTTTAGAGTGGCCTGCACAGTCGCCTAACCCATCGAAAATTTGTGGTCCGCCATCCAAAAGGCAGTTGCTGCTTCCAAACTAAGAAATTAGTTACTTGTTGGTCGTTTTTTAAATTTTAAATACATTTTTCAAAAGTGGTGCTATTATTTGTATCGCCTAATTTTACCAGTTTTACTAAAGTTTCTTAAATAACTTAAAAACCAAAAAAAGGCTATGACTGCATGGTAGATTTACTTATTGAAAATTTACCATTCCAGCCATTTATACAATTTACATATGTATATATGTACATATTTACATATGTTTATTGGGCTGTACGTTGAAATAAAATAAAATGAACAACTACAGACATGTATGTATATTTATATGTACATACATATGTACATATTTATGTAATTATATATTGTTCATGCATATTACATTGGGCTGTACTTTACGGTAAAATGTTGTATGCAAAATATATATAGGATTTTTAGTTATGTATCTGTAATAATAGACGAATGAATATACATATATATAAACACGTTCATATATGGGAATGTAAAAATACATGTAAATTTGTGGTCTGAGTACTAGTCGCGAAAAGGAAAATTCTGTGCAGCTTCGCTTCTCTTGATACATGCACGTACATATATATGTACATATGCACCTATGTATGTAGTTTAATATGGACATATGCACACATACAATATATGTACATACATATGTACATACATATTTTGTCAGTCAAGCGAACGTTTCGCTCATCTGTTGCGCACGTCTCACTATATTTTGGAAAAAGGAAATTCGATCGCCTTTCACTCAGTCAACATAAATGTTGTTAATGGAAAAAGTTTGACTGAAAAAACGAATATATCCATGTATTGCATGTTTATTTTTAGTCATTCGCAGTCACCGGCTGTATGTACATACATAGATACATACACAAAGCTTATATCTATTTCTATGTGAAGAAATGTTCGAGTGGATATGCAAGTGCTCACACGCACACACCAAAACAAAAAAATATACATATGTATGTACATACATAAATACATGTACATACATAAGAATGCAGGAACAGAAACTATTCGTTTTTTTAAATGATATATTCGAAGACACAGTCTAATTTTGTATGGTAATTAAATTGGTTTGATTTTGGTTTATAATTTTCGATATTAGCTTTTTTAAAATTTTGTCAATTGCTAATAAGAGCGCACATATGTATGTTCATATGTATATATATTTATATACGTATGTATGTATGTTTGTACATTCATATGCATGCAATTCCTTCGCATTGTATTGGATTTTTTCCTTTAGTCTATTTTTAAGACGGACAACACACCGTTACACAATACTATCAAAGAGACACTGCTTTAATATTACATATGTATGTAAACATGTATGCGTGTATATGTGTTTAATTTGAATTAGGAATACACATGAATAAATTATACTTGTATGTTTATATGTATATACATTGTATATATGTATGTACATGCTATTATTGGTATGCACTGGCCAACACACTAACAGGTTAGACGACCTGTGATCTTCTTTTCAATTTAAATTTTCAGGTAACCTCAACCTCGCGTCGGACCTAAAAAATCAGATATATTCTTTTTGTGTTCACTTGTGTCTTATTATGTCTTCTTTTTATACATACATACATATGTACATTTCCATTCTCTGTATACATACATATGTACATTTCCATTCTCTGTATACATACATATGAATGAACGTACATTTTTTTTAGATGAGCAATCATCCTTTAAATAACGCCAAGAAACCGAGCTTGACCGGAAGACGCACTGTATTTACACGTTTATGAGCGGAATAAATATATGTACACAGATACATATATAAGTATGTAAAGACGTTTATGCCACCAAACACAACTGACTTTGCAAACGACTTAAGAAACAAAAACTACGAACCTACGCTACACATGTACATATGTATGTATGCACATGCACACAGTATGACTGTATGAATGAAAGCATACAAATTAAATACTGATGTTTATAAGTAGGAATATGTTTGTAGGCAGGTATTTATGTACGTACAACTAGACTACGATAACACAGTGCGAGCACAGCACGAATTTATTCCTTCTGAGGAAACGAAGCGAACTCCACGGGCGTTAGTCTATTACTATCTGCTCCGAATAATTTGTGCTCTTGATCTGCATCGGACATATACATACGCCGGGATCCGCCAGACAGCATTGGCAGTCGGTGCAGAGCGCAGGCGCCAATAGCTTCGGCCAAAGACACGTAAATATGAAGGCATTCCCCCTAAGAATTGGGTATTCTTGCCATAGCTTTGAAGGGGTATATTGATTTTAACCACATGTTTGTAAATCACCGCACCGAAGATATAATTTTCTTTCCTGTAATCTGTACTGCAAATTCCAAATGTATTCATATTTTGGCCGTCATTCTTTCTGTGCGACAGAAAGACAGAACAAGAATGAAGATAATTTCTTGCAGCATTGTGAATGATACAGTAAATATTCGAGGGTGCATACAAGCCAACACGCAAGCGGCTCTGATTTCTTGTTTCATTTTCATCATATTGTTTGAAGAGTTCTCCTCTGGGGTGGTTTGTAGAAATTATCATTCTTTCAACCAGCAGAAAATAGAAAAGTAAATCTATTTAATTTATGTATACGCAGGAACTATGTAATGTGCATGTGCACATTGTATTCACACATCTAAATATATATATTCATATGTATGTATATTACTCATATACATATGTACATATGTATGTACATACATATACAAAATGTGACACATACCCAACCTATTGGTCACAATTGCTTACCGCTTGTTATAAATCATCGCATAGATTAAGAAACAAATACTAGAGGAAAATAATTATAGAAATACTTTTTAGCATTTATGAGATTTAAATGTGCTATTTTTAGACGACTAATGGCTGCACAGATTCTATTTTCAGCGTCAACGAATACAATCAAAAAACATCAAAGCGGTTAGCTTTCCCCATACACTTACCAGCCAGATTTTTTCTCAAGTATCCAAAGCAACTTTTTCTGAAAGATATCGGGCTTACAAATTGTCCGATGATATTTTTTTGCTGCCGACGTTGCCTCAGTGGTGGTGCCCAAGCACCTCGCCGCAGTGGAGGAGCTCGCCAGCGCGGCCATCCGATCCGTGGAGTCGTGGCTTACGGTCTCCGGATTGGACCTGGCAGCGCAGAAGACCGAGGCGGTGCTTATATCGAGCCGGAAAGCTGTCGAAACTGCATGTGTGCAGGTCGGTGGCACCACGATACGCTCTACGAGTGCAGTCAAGTACCTGGGGGAGCTCATTGACACTCTCGTCTCTTTCAAGGAGCTCTTGGAGTACGTGCAGAGGAAGGACAGCGGAACCGCAGGATCGCTCCCGCGAATGCTTCTGAACACCAGAGGCCCGAAGCATGCAACGCGGGCGCTCCTGACGAGTGTAGTGACGTCGCAGATCCTGTATGCGTTGTCGAAATCCGCTCAGGTGAACCCCTACATGCGAGGCGTAGAGGCGACATACAGGCTGTGTGCTCTAAGGATCGCGTCCTCGTTCCGGACTGTGTCATCGGAGGGCAAGTCCCACTCAGGGAGCTGGTAACGGAGAGACAAGAGATCCATACAGCCGCGCAGGGCGGAGGCAAGGCGACAAGAGCCAAGCTGAAGGCTACCGCAAGGAGGTCTGCCATCAGTAGATGGCAGACCCAGTGGGTCGGTTTACAAACTACAAACTTTCTGCTCAGCTCCTAGCACCGAAATCGAATTCGAAATTCTTATACAATTTACCCTTCAACCCTTCCAGCTATGTATATCTACGAGTATTACTTCATATGATTTTGAATGACTGTAAGTACGATTTAAGCGCACTTTCCGCTGAGCTATCGATGGTGAGGGTAAAAGAGAGGATGAAACAAATTATATTTCAAAATATTTACCCTGCACACTCAATGCTCAACGACGCTCCGTTCTCTTAGCAACCACTTTGAAATATTGTTCTTGAGTGAGAGCTATTACAATCGCCCCACATTGAAAATACAGTCCTTCGCTACACAGTTGACGGATAAGAACTTCATTAAAATGTTTGCCAAACTTGACTTAAACAAGGGTTCTTATACTAAACAAATAAAATTAGATTGGACACAGTAATTGCGCTATTGAAAAGTCAATATTCGTACAAAGGGCAAATTATAATGAATGTTTGGAAATCATTTATTAATCTTACAATGTAATAACTAATAAAAACGAGTAGGAACGATTGTAAGACGCTTCGTACGCGTCACAACTTTTATACCAGGTACTCAGTCAGTATATCTGTACCTCTTTACAGTGGTTTAGTGTTTAGACGGGGTGGGGGTAGAAACTGCGAATGAATTTCTTCATTCTGGCCATAATATAGGCACATTCTAATCCCTATTCGGAGAAGGTTATCGTTTCTAGTTTTCTCTTATCTTAAAAATTGTGGATAAAAGCGAATTTATGTATGTATGTGTTGTCCTATAATTTATTGCAATTAAATATAACATATAAATAATGCCTGTGATCTGCTTATCTTCTTCTCCCCAAATATAAATACTATAACGATTAGACAAACCATATATGTATGTATGTACCTATGTATGTGTATGTACATATGTACAGAAAGGTTGTGCATTTTATCTCAGAGGCGCCACTGGAAGAGCATAAACTGTAGGCATACAATTAGAAATATAAACATTCAAATAGAAAAAATGTATAGTAGAAATAAATATATAGAGAGCGTGGCAGAAGCGTGTCAGAATGCTTACTTCATTCTTCCAAATAGGGTTAATTATATTTGTGCTCAAAAGTGGATAAATGTAATGCACAGAAGGAACAGTTTGTATATATGTATATTCATGATCAGTATGAATAGCAAAGTCTACATATGTGTGTCGGCTAGTACTCAGAGCTAGAGCCACCAAATTTTGCATCCAGACTTAATGATTTCACACTGATAAAAGTGTGCCCCGCCCCTTTCGCCCACAAAAAGGGATAATAATTGGCAGTGGTCACACCCACCCCGTCCAGAAGCTTTACTTGTGATTGTTTTTTTTTCTCATGATTTCTCGCTCGCACACTCTGCCTCATGCAATGTGCGTCACGGATAGTAGATTCAGATGTCGCTTCTTACGCGTCACAACTTTTATACCCGGTACTCAGTCAGTGTACCTGTACCATATTGTTTTTTTTTCGAATTTTACATTTTACATTTTTTCTACACCTGTTTGTCATCTACATCTACATAACTTCTCACGCCAGCACGAAATTTTGTACAATTTTTGTAAAAATGTAAAATTCGAAAAAAAACAATATGGTACAGGTACCTGTCTGAGTACCGGGTATAAAAGTTGTGACGCGTAAGATGCGTCTCACACGTCCCTTCTCGTTAAAACCAATTTTTTTCACTTTTCACAAGAAGCCTGTACAACTTGCATTTTAAAATTGACCAGCAAACAAGAAATTCTCGATATTATAATAACTTTTTTTAAAACCAACATCAACATTTCCCGATCCGATCACGAGTGCATGAGTAGTGAAAACAGCATTGATATTCATTTGTCAAAATTAGGTCATTTAATCACACCAATTATTTTACGCGTATAAGTTAGAATCCTTGGCCGTTACTATGTTATAAATACATTTTTCTACAACCTCCATACATTTTTTAGAGATATGTAAATTCGATTTATTTTAGGGAGCCTTTAAAGTTAATCAAATTAAATAATCTTCATATGTATGTCTAAGTCCTTTTCTTCTCTAAATGTGCACGGGTCTCTCTGGCTCTGGAGTCTAGACCCAAGGTGAGTAGAAACAAGAGGCAAAAAACTGTTGCTTTCCACTGGAAGCATGTGGTACTGGGTTGCCACTGCCAGAAGCCGGCACATTGTTGGCAGCCGTCGCGTAGTTATAGCTCATATGCGCATACGAAGGAACAGCGCTCGAAGTGGCATCAGGAGCAAATCCAGAACTGTGACTACCAGCTACCAAATGCTGTGGACTGCAGGGCGACTGGCGGGGTTCCATAATTTGATGAGAAGAAACGGCTAAATTGGCGGTGGCGGACGAATTGCCATCAGGCGCTCCACCTCCACCAGCCGGAAGTGGCTGTGGGGCCAAGCCGTATGTGGAGAGCACTTCGTATCCGGTTCCATTATTGCTGGCTCCTGCATTCGTCAAGTGTACATTACCAATACCAGGCCCACTGTTTCCCCCGTCATTCGGAACCAGGTGATGATGCGGACCAGCTATCGGCGGAGGACGCAGAGTCATGTGGCACGGATACAGAGATGGGGGCGTGAGGTCGCGTTGCTGGGATAAGGGCGACTGAGGGGCCAAAGGTCCCACCGACGAATGGTTAAAGCTTGGCATTGGTGTAATAGAACTGCAAAAGAAAAACCATATTGGAAGTTATCAAAGGCTCAGAATAAACACAAAAGCACGTAGATTAAATTATTAAATAAGCTGACTTTCTGAAGAATATTACAGTCCATGTAGTTTGGATGATGATATCCCTTACTTTATAAATTTTGTTTTGGCATTTGATGTTGACTCTGAACTTGAATGGAGCTGCGTATTACTATACTAAGCACTAACAACAAATGGATTGACGATGAAACCACAGATGATTTTTCTAGAAGCTTATACAAAAACTATCAAACTTAACTAAGACAACCTTTAGTAACCTTTAGTAACCTCTTACCCGTAACCATCTCCCATCGACAATGCGGGATGGTGCATATTCGAGTACATCGCACTCATTGAGCTGCTGAAGCTTCCACTATTGAAATTTAGGCGTGGCGAAATGGCAGGAACCAGAGCGTGCGAGTGAGTGTGCGGAAGCGAATGGGCATGAGCATGAGCATGGGCATGGGCATGAGCGATGTGATGATGGGTGCTATGTTGCCCGGAGATGCCTAGGCCAGGTGAGCAAGCGTCGCTGCCATCTTCTTGTGGTCGCCCGCCAGAACTGTCGGAGTTGCCACCGGACCTTAGCTGCAACTTTGGTGTGGTACTGTCAGTGGATTCAGCTCCACCCACGTTCGGCAACGTATTTGGTGACGCTAGCCCGTTCATTGTGTCTGTATAAATAAGATTTATTTTTGGTCAATATGGAAATCGCATCTGCACTGCTCTAAAAGCAGACAAAGACTCTAAGTATGTACTCACTTCCTGAGGGACAACTGCCCGCCAGCAACGAGGAGCAAGCCCCCAGACTATTAGGGCTATCGGTTAAGGACGCATTGCCCGAAGTTGAAGACGAAGTTCCACTTGTTCCTGTCGAGTTCGGCGTCCTTCGCTGATTCCGTAACTTCTCTTCGCGGCGCCACTTGGCACGACGATTTGAAAACCAAACCTGAATTCTTGCCTCCGGCAAACCAATCTTACCAGCCAATCGTTCCCTGGCAAATACATCCGGATAATGAGTGCGCTCAAACTCTGAGGAATAACAAAAATACTCAATGAACTATTTTTATTGGTTACCCTGAAGTACTGGCGGTGGCGATTGACCATCCACTAGGCTGGTCCGTACATGGGTAATATTCGAAGTAGCCCTATAGTAAGCGAACGCGGAACCACTCAAAGAATAGAAAATACTTTTACTCTGTATACTTTACAACACACCTCGCACCACCAAGCGAACTGGTTCGATGGAATTCAACGTCTCACCAGTAAACGAAAAAAAAGGTGGAAAGAAGAAAGCAACTAGCCAAAATCGATGGTGCTCTACCGCAGAGCTGATCTGCTTTCTGTTTTCGGAAATTTCATTGATGGAATGTTTTATTGATTTTGGTTGTTGGTGAATACGCATGTTAGTGCAGTAGAAGCAATACTTTAAAAACTCGAGACAGAATAAATTAAAAAAGTAGAAGAACAACAGGTAAGAAAACAAAGGAATAACTAATAAATAATACAAATCAAAAGAGCCACCGATTCTTTTATTCTGGGTACTTATGTCACCAACCCTACCATGGGTACCCGTGTAAGTACCCCTACCATTGCTACCCATGTAAGTTCCCTTTACATCAGTTCTCGGTAAAATATATTTACTTACATATGTGTGTACACATAGATAGTTCTTGATAACGCCAGGATTTAAAATTTACCAACTTGTAAGTTTATTTGGCCGAGACAGGTTGAATGACACTAAACCCCAAGTTTAAAAAACTAGTTTGATAATTTTACTTAGCACTGTGCTAGTAATAATTATCACAGTCAACGAACGTCAAATTGTTAGCAAGTACTCTACGAGTAAGTATTAGGTTTACTATAATTGCTCAAAGTCCGATTGAGTATATGGGTTGCATATATTTATTTCATTAGAATTGGTAGAAGTGCACTTACCTTTTTCCAGGCTATCTATTTGCTCATTTGTAAAGGAAGTGCGGTTGCGTTGCAGTTTCCGTTTGAGTATCAGGCGAGCCTGATCGTCCTCGCTGTTTCCTATATTAGAGGCGCCGCCATTGGAATTTTCCCCTTCACCGGAACCTGTTTCATCTGATTGATGTCCGTCAAGTTCTGCCAAAAACCGATACGGTGCAACTATAGTAAGTGTATTTTACGTGGACTCTCACTTATATAACTTAAATTGATACAGCCTTACATATAAAATATATAGGCATCGCTGAGAGACGCTCTGGAAAGCGAAATGTCACTAAAGTAGTATTAAATTCTTCTAGTTAGTTGGGGGCTTGCTTAGTAATATAAAATTATTGAATTTAGATGGATTCTTCATTCAAATATTAACCCATACACTTGGAGTAGATGATAAATTTTCAAACCTTAGTAGTATTTTCTGCACAAGGAAACAAGATTTCCCACATATTTATTTTGTATTCCAACAGCGCACCAGCTGATGGAGCGTAGCCACTGCAAATTAATTTCGCCATTCTGGCTATCCAATCTGAATCCTAATTCGGGAAGCTGATAAATATGGACATTCCCATCTTTAATTTTGTGGATGTCGCAGATTTTCGCCATTTGTAGGGGATTAGAAGGGGATATACATTTTGTTTTAGAACACTTGACAGTAATGTGAAGTAATGTGCTTCAAACCGGCATACACGGTGACGGCTCAATTATGTATGTTCTGGGGGAGTTTTTATGAAAATGGAGATTATTCCTTGGTGTTAATCGATAATGCGAAATAAACAGGAACAGGATCTCCCAGGAGTCATCGGAAATTTTGGTCTAGCTGCTAAAAAAATGAGAAAATGGCACAGAGCACATGTCCTTTTTGGTAAAAAATTGGATTTTAAAACTAATAGTCCAGTCTTCCGATATGAATACTATTGTAAATTTACAGTCCCATGTGAAATCGTAGCTTGAAAAATATGCAGACCCTCCAAATATTATTATTTAGTTGCTGGAGAGGCCAAAGCCCGAATGGAACTACACTTGTAACAGTGTGAGCATACAGAAGTCGGTATGCAAATTTTGTGGCTCTAGCTTTTATGGTCTCTGAGATCCAGGCGCTCATAAGGACGGACAGACGGACGGACGGACAGACAGACATGGCTCAATCGACTCGGCTATTGATGCTGATCAATAATATATATACTTTATGCGGTCGGAAACTGTTCCTTCTGTGCGTTACATTCATCCACTTTCGAGCACAAATCGATTAATCCTATTTACTCTTCGAGTACCGGGTATAAAAAGGGGTCTTCATACAAATCAGGATACACCTCTAAATTGATACTCAGCTTCTTACGAAAGAGGCCCAAAAGACGGTCCTATATATTTCATGTAAACAACTTGTTCCAAAAACGAAATACTTATGTGGATTCAAATTTAAATGCGCCTGTCGTTTCTATTATTTTTTCCTGTATTCACTGTATTTATACATATATGTATGTACATTAGAAACGCAGATTTGTTGGTATATTATTCAGTATTGGTATTCAGAAGAAGAAGATGAACATAAAATATTTAGCCATCTAACCTTATAGACGAATATTAACCCATCCAATTGGAATAGACGATACGTTTCCAAACTTTAGTAGTATTTTCTGCAGAAGGAAACAAGATTTTTCGACATATTTATATTGTTTTGCAACTTTTGTACAAGATATATACTCAGTATACAAAGTCAAAATCACAATACCCTCTCCAAGCGAATACAAAAGTAGATACAAATGTTGTGTGGAGCTGTTTTATTTCGAGTCGCGTTAGTGGTCACATCAAAAAGGCCGCCAACAATTGTATAAGGGTGTGTTTGTATTTTTATTATGTACATGTATTATGTATATACTCTTCTGGCTCGTGTGTAATTGGCGCTTAATGTTACTGGATGTGACAGTGCAAATAGATGCTGATAGCCTACAGACATGCCGCTGGATAGGGTCGGGTCAGGACGGGGCCAAGCCTGCTCTGGATCACTCCAGAGCACACGTCACTTGGCGATAAAGTTGCAATGTTCTGACAGGCAGCAACAGAGCAACAATGACAGACGACGGTAGATGTCGAGCAACTTGGTATTCAAACACTGCTACGGCTACGGTGACGAAGGGAAAGGGAGCAAAGGGGATGGAGTCCGAGACTCTGGTGTGAGAAGAAGATGAGTTTGAGTTTGAGTTGGAGGATAACGAAATGACACTCAAACAGCTAAATACATTAAAAACAAAACTTGATAAGGCAAGAGCTCTAGTATGAGGATTTCAAATACGATTTTATAAATATGTATTTTCTGTTTTCTATTCATGCACCCCATCATTAGAATCAGCAACAGCATCAGAAACAGCATCAGCATCACCTTAGCGCAAACCAGTACAACACCCACCCCACCCCATTACCCACCCCCCAACCGCAATCTCGACCCTGAACCCATCTCCTACTCCAACCACAGCCACCCTCACGGTTTCCCGCTTAATGAAGTGTCATCGCCTGTAAAATGAGTCTGTAAATCGCATTAAAGCAAACTACACGGTTAAGGGTAAACCTGTCAAGCACGGCAGCGGCGACGTCAGCGGTTGCCCGATAGCTACAGATTATTCTTGCTCTGCAAGTTGAGGGGTTTACGGAAGAGCAGAAGTAGCTCACGATACAGTTACAGCTTTGGCACACTCACTATCTGCGGTTGGTCCTCGTCCTCGTCTACTGCACCAAGATTTTGTTGTTTTATCAAAACTGGATTAATTCTACTTGTATTAGCAAAGTAGTTTGAAAATATTATTGGCTCGAAAGAACTTGGAGATTTTCTGCAGCCGGGTTGAGGGACTCGACCACAATTTCGAAAATATCCAAGGAACCCTGATCAAATTAGATCTGCTTCCATAAATCTCCATATGTGTTCTGAAGGGACATTTTAATTTCAGTCCAGGCCATAATAGAAACGGGGGGCTGACAAAAATTATTTGCCTCTTTGACCTTGAGCTCTAAATCTATAGCAGTTTGAGTTAGACCACCAATAAACCCATCACAACCAACTCTACTTTTCCAGTATACCGATTTCTTAAATATATTTGTGGGTACATACATACATATGTACATATGTATTTTCTACTTTCTATGCTGCCACTAGTTGGCATCATCATCAGTGTATTTTCGTTACAAAAAAGAAGATACAATTTTTAAGTCGAGTTCTACAGAACCAGACCACCAGAGTTGTTAGATTTGGAAGAAAAATGTTGCATCTTGACTGGAAATAGTTGGTCTTTCTTGGTCTCAGTCTGCTGGGTATCACACTGATGCAAGCTTATTTCAAAATGTAGCCCCCATAAAGAAAAAACATCTGTGGCATCTACAATTTTGAAGATATAAGAAAACCAACGAGAAGGGACGTGTGAGACGCTTCTTACGCGTCACAAGATTTATACACGGCACTCAGTAGGACTTCTGTACCTTAGTGGTTTTTTCAAATTTTACATGTTACATTTTCTTTACATATGTACATAGATCATCTACATCTACATTACTTCTCTAGTGCAAAAAATAAATAAAAAGCTGCTGGACGGGGTGGGTTTGGCCACTGCAAATTAATTTCTTCATTCTCGCTTTAATAATGACCCAATCTAATCCCAATTCGGAGGCCATACCTAGCCTTTCCCTGCGGAATGGAGTTTTCTTTTTTCTTCAATTTTGTGACAGTGGGAGATTTTTCCCCTTTGTGGGGGCGGAAGGGGACGGGGACAGCAGTCTGGAGGCAAAATTTGGTGGCTTCAGACATGGCTTCATCGACTCGGCTATTGATGCTTATAAAGAATATTTGTATATACTTTATTAAGTCGGAAACGTTTCCTTCTCTGCGTTACAAATATCCCCACAAATACAATATACCCTATTCGCTTTTCGAGTACCGGATCTATCAGATTCCCGAATTAGAAACAGATCGGCTCGTTAGTATAGCCAGCATAAAGAAAGTCATTAGGCGTGACTAGCTTAGTCAGCGTCCCAAAACGTTCCTTCTCGTTTTATTCTCTGTTCGTTTTCGAAACGGTTCATACTCAATTTTGATATGTATTGATTTTAATCCCCACATGCGGGTAGAAACAAACAATTGTCTGTCACGTGTTTCCAGCATTTACGCACGACACGGTTAGGTTATTGTCATTTGTTGAGCTGTGGACTACCCAAAATGAAGAGGCAATCACGACGCGGTAATAAAGCGGGGGTATACACTCAGTACGCTCAATAAGAAGCATTGCGTTTTACAGATGCAGAAGAAAATATGTAAATGTCTGCCCAGTGCAATCGGTCGTAATTTAACTCGCTCGTGCGCATTTTCAGTCAAATCTGTAATCCGTTATCTGTAAAGTGTATTGAATTGAAAATTGTATCCGAATCCATAAACTCCATGACTTTAAATATTACATTACATATATTCAGTCTGAATATTCTGTCTGTACAATCGTGGTTCGCGTATGCATGATATATCGCAAGCTTATATTCTTACTTTCCAATGTTCTTATTAAGTAAAGCTCACCTTTTTTTAAAAGAATGTCGTCCGTGCTCATGGGGCAGGTGCTCAGGTGGTTCCCACCGCCGGATAAATTGGGCGGGCTCAAGGGCTGAGATGTCGTTGAGCCTTGGACATATGCAGTCACTGAAGTCATAACGGATCCGGATCCGGATGAAACTGGGATAGATATTTCACTGCCGTTCTGAGGGGAGGTGTACCAAGTTCCTGTTGAGTAGTGGCGTGGAGGCCAGCTAGCCTGTTGTAGCTGCGACGACTGTTGGTGTTGTTGACCATGCATCAGCTGGGGATGACTGGAATGGGGGTGGGGTCCAAAATGGTTTGATGAGGATACGGCTATGGCAGGATCCATCGACCCAGCTGCATGTTGAGTATTGAGGAGTCGAAGCTTTTCATAAATGGACTCCTGTTCGCTCCCCTCGCCAGAGTTGCTTGCTCCACCACTTTCGGAAGAGTTCAGAGGCGTTGCTGTTTGCATCAGATCGCCTACAGAGGTCAGTGTGGCTCTAGTTAAGCTCTGGCCACTCTGTCCACTCGCGCCACTTGGGCCACTGGCACCACCACTATTTGTAGGAGTGGCGCTGGTGCTAGTGTTTGTACTTGAACTACTCGTTCCAGAATTTTGTTGCTCCTTTTGTGCCGCCAAATTTCTTAATACTCGATTTATTGACGAAACCTAAGATAATAGATAAACTAAATTACTAAATATGTATAGTGAAATAGTTTATATTACATAAAAACGGTTGTACGGATGTAAATGTACCTCTTATGAACAGAATGTACATAATTATAAATATTTGCAAATACATACATATGCATATGTGTGTATATACGAGTAAAATCTGCCGAGTTGACATTGGGTTAGAGTCAGATTACGACTCGAAGAACTCTAGGGAGTCAAAAGCAGCAGAAGAAGCTTTAACTTTACCTTTTTTCACTTGGCGGCAGCAGTAGCAGCAGCAGCTGACGTTTGGCTGGGGGTTTGGGAATATTTTTTCGTCCTTATTATTTTAAGGCTGTGCCTGCGCTTGACAACGCTTTTCAAACGAATTCAAAAGCAAAGGCAAAATACGAAAGAAACGAAAGAACAAACGAGCAAACATATAAATGAGCGAGCGAGTAAGAAAGAACAACAGGGGAAAGTGCAGTTGAGTGGAAAAATTAGGCAGAATGTCCTTTCAGGGGGTACAACGCTCGCAGTGAACGGTCGCAAAAAAACTTATTTTTAAAATAAAATGAGCACCGTCCCCGAATTCGTACATACATTCGTAAATTTTTATGTACATATGCGTGTGTATGTACTGATGTACTTATACTGTTGATATATTTATATATACATGCCCATACATACATACATACATACATGCACAACAACAGCTTTGATCTATTGGCGCTTTCTGATCTTTCGATCGATCGGTTCGGCCAAAAATAGGCTTAAACCAAAGTAGGCGCAGTCGTAAGATTTCAAGTGCAATGCAGCAAGGAAATGGAAAATTGAACGCTCGTCGGCCACCATCGGCCTTCAGCCGTCAACAGCCAGAACCTAAATCCAGTTGATGGGTAATGGAGAAGGGACAAGGACCTTTCCGCAGTTCCATTCCGTTCCGTGTCCAAGCGAAACTGCTTGCATTTTCACCCCTCGACGATTTTTCTATTCGAATCCGAACTCGTATTTGGCCAATCGGCCAACCGTTTTTCTCCCCGATTCCGAACACCGAACACAGAGCATGGACGTGATTCAGCAACGTGATTCCGATTCCCCCTCGCACTGGCGCGTGAATTTCAACGCTTAACGGTTTGTGGTGGCGGCGGGCCGTATTTATTTAATATTGTATTTTTTCGTACATTTTTCTAGCACTGATTTCCCTTTTTGTCGTTTAATGTGCATAAAAGATTTTCGCTTCCATTTGAATGAACACATTTTCCACACAACTGTCAATGGGGAAAAGTATAAGGCAGGCGGCAGGACATCAGCCTCGGCATAGGCATCGGCCATCGGCATCGCTGTCACATTCATTTTGCCTTTCTTTCTTCTTTTTTTTTGCATACTTAATAAACAATAAAAAAAATACGAATGGAAAATGTTAATGCCAGAGAACAGCAAATGGCGTTGGAAATCAGAAATAAAGAGTCCAACTGATACATATTGTCATATACCGAGAATATAAAGCATAAATAATTGAGGCTTGATTCTGAAGACTAAAATATGAAATCTTGCCAGCGATTGCAGTAGGCATAGGCATCGGCCATCGGCATCGCTGTCACATTCATTTTGCCTTTCTTTCTTCTTTTTTTTTGCATACTTAATAAACAATAAAAAAAATACGAATGGAAAATGTTAATGCCAGAGAACAGCAAATGGCGTTGGAAATCAGAAATAAAGAGTCCAACTGATACATATTGTCATATACCGAGAATATAAAGCATAAATAATTGAGGCTTGATTCTGAAGACTAAAATATGAAATCTTGCCAGCGATTGCAGTAAGTAAGCTAGTCGCATATAAATACAAGTACATACATATGTATATTTAAATATATGTACATATGTCGTATGTATGTATGTATGCACATACATTCTTTTGAAAGCATAAATTTAAGTAACTTACGCTTGGAATATTGTCGTTGGTGCAAACGTTCTCCTGCAATAATCTATCCCGAATTTCCCAGGCGAAAATGCTCGGGCACTCGCGTTTGTATTGCGAAATTTTGCTAACGACTTCAGCTGTAGCAACCCGTGGTTTGGATCCACCGATTGCGCGTGGTCGAATACTTCCGGTTTCATAGTATCTGAAATAAAATAATCTAAATCCTTATCTAATAATCAGAAAGATTCAAGCTATTATCTAGCCTGATATTTATGGCGTTTTTAAAGATTTTTATATAATTCGTGTATAAGGAAACTCATACGAATTCGGCATGACACCTACCTGCCTAAAATTTTGCTAACACATCCGTTAGAAACTTGTAGAATCCGAGAAATATCACATGGCCGAGCCCCAGAATGCGCGAGCTCAACAATTTTCTGGCGCGTTGAGTCAGGCAATGGTCGTCCACCAACAAAAACTCCGCCCAGCTGGTTTACTCCACTGTGACCTGTAAAAATACAAAGAGATCCATATACTTATGTATATTCGAAGGCATGCACTTGCGGGTAAATCAACTGAAGGACCGGACCGCACACCGATCCACGGAGCAGACCACCTGAGATTAGTGTGCATGACCATAAATTCTATATTTTATCTGAATTTGTGCACCCGATTGCAAAAGGATCAAGTGATTTTTAAATATGTACATATTTAAATGTAAAAGAAAGATAGATTCGATAGGTTCCGTCTGCGATTCCTAGTTTTATATGCTGCAGGTGTTCTTGCAAACATAATGTCGACGGACGGATGGATAGACGGATATTGTTAACCTTGTGTCTGTTTCATCCTTCACGAAAGTATTAATATGTTAATATGCTATATGTTAAGCGGTGACAGCAAAACAAGACTTTTTCTGAATATACACGGACTACAACAACATGTAATTTACTAAAAAAAAATGTAGGAGATAATCGTGGAGCTGTATATTGAGAGAAATCACAAATTGGAAAATGATAAAATGTTGTGGAAATGGCATAGTAAATATTCCAGCAAATAAGAAGCAGAAGAATTGATAGTTATCAAAATGCGTTTTGACTAAAGTCAAAATGGCCTAAAGGCCATTTGAATCGCCTGAATAGGGGTTTCAGGGGACTTCACGACCTCCGATTGGAAGTCTTTCTTTCCTTTCAGCTGGCTTTCAGACGCATGTTAGACTCGGATGCGAATGTTGTTCGCTTGGGTCTGTATGGTGGATTGGATATGAATGCACATACTTATATAAAGGATGAGGCAGATATGGCAATGACGCAGATAATTCGGTTTGGCACACTTTAGAAAACGTCAACATACTCGGACGTCGTATCGACATGATTTCGAATTCCACTTCGATACTTAAAGCACTTCAGACACTTTTTGAGCCGCTATATCGGTTTTTTGTATCTCAATTTTTATTCGATGGCCTGGATTCGTAAGTTAGGACAATTCATTTTGAATGAGGACATCCCTTTGCGGAGACTTGCGCCAAGACAAGACTATGCATACCTCAAAAAGCAAGAACGCAACAAAACAAAAATCAAACGGCAAAAAAAAGGTCCCACTCGGAGTTCAATCCAAGCATAAGATGGGTTTCAAACAAATTTCCTAGTACTGATTGATAGAAGATCCCTAAATCTGCGTATCAATTTACTACTTTATTGGTAAGGAAGGCATCGAAACCAGCCAAGCAGCAAATGCATGGATGGGTCGAGTAAGGACAACTGGCTAGCAACTGACAAGGGGCTAATCCAAATCCAAGAGCATGCATGTATGTATGTACATATATATATGTTTTATAGATAACCAACAAGCACCGCTGTCGTAAACTTAAGCCCCAACGACCGTAACGATCTTCAATCGAATGTCGATGTCTTTAAGAATCTGTTACAATCCCCTTTTCCTTTTCCCTAAAAAGCCCCTTTCCTGTGTGTCATTATGTGGAGCAATGTACCTAGCGACTACCAACCAATCATATCGAAGGTAAGAGTGGATTCGTGGGAAAACTGTAAGCGGTTTAAGTGCACACGGAATCGACTGTCACTTCAAGACGAAAAACGTACGTACTTACAAATCTATAACATCGAGTAGAAGGAACATGCTGCACACAATTACCAGTGGGGATTGAATTGATAAATGTATGTACAATATATTTTCGTATATACATTTGTACATACATATTTACTATGCAAATTTAATCAATCGAATAAGGAAACCTCAACTGACCATCAGTCGACATATACATACATAGTTCGTTTTCTAGCATGTGTTAGCATAATCGTTAAGTAAATGAATGTTAAAATTATGAATTAACAAAGTGACGAGCTAGACAATAGCCGAGAAAATCTTGCCAATGGGATTAACAATGTAATTGCAACACATCAGTTGGCAAACAAAACAATACCAGACCAGACCAGGACTCTCTAAGGGACTGGGCCGATTAGGGAAACTTCCCCTTGTCGCAAAAGAATGGACACGGTCAGGAGTAGCAGCAGCAGACGGGCCTGGGATCCGGACCCGAATCCGAACAGTGGCAGAGTTTGGGTTCACAATGGATTAGTCGCTGGTACCGACAGCCGCTAAAGAGGCTCATTTGGTACTACATATAATGTATATATGTATTTATTTGAGTATTGTGTGCGTACGTGTCTGAATAGGAGTATATGTCCGACATGGGTAGAACAAACTGCCAAGGCCTTTGTTTGTTTTTATTCGACTTCGGCTTTCAACATCAATAATTGTTTTCATTTGTAACGACATGACTCGAAACGGTCGTCAAACACGAATACACACTTCAAGATCATTAAAGGTGGAAAATGATTGTATTGATTCACAAAACAACAATAGCTATACCCAACGGAGAGTACTTAACAGCTCGGCGGGATAGGGATGGGACAGGATCCAATCCACCAGGACAGAACGGACATCACCTACTTGAAAAATAATGTGAGCATGGCTGTGCTCGTCATCGTCTTAAAAGCCGATACACATAGATCCTCATCGTGTTCCTAACTATTCACTTTGATCAGCACTCGCTATTGTGGTCTGTAATTGGCAGCATGTGCCTGTGCCTGATTCCATGTCACCTATGGAACAATGACAGGAGACTGTTTCAATTGAGCAATGTTCATGGACATGGGACAGGGGAATCTTGGCAATTTTCACACCAAATTTGGCATTTTGTCAAGCCATTTATAGATTTATAAGTAATCCCAATATGTACATACATATGTAGTACGTGTGTGTGTACATACATACCCATGCAATTATGTAGTGAAATGTCCTAATTATTGTAATCTTTTTTTTATTTGTTCCCCTTTTCCCTATAATTGTGAGTATATGTATGTATCCTGTAGTCATGTAGTCTGTATCTCAAAATAAGAGATATCCCACATTCATTTTAAGCCAAAATTTAAATAATTGAAATTGGAATTGGAAATGGTGTACGGGTATAGAGAGTTGGACGTCGAGTTGGAACCGGAAACATACATTCGTCATCAGTTAAGTGGTAGTAAGTTGTGGTAAAGTACGACGATGTCGAATGGGGTTGTGACACTGTGGTCGCATCCACGGCTTCCATCGCAGTAGCCATTGTAGTAGCGGATTTTCCACCAATACCGCCAAGTCCACTACCACTAGCAGTACCCAAACAAGGCAGATTTCTCATCGCAATCACATTGTCTATAAAAGAAGAGCAGAGCAAAGGAAAATTAATCACCTCAACAAGTTACTATAGGTATGTTAATCAATCCTATAATAATGTTAGTTACAATGGAGGGTATAGTATAGTATATTGTAGTAAGAATTTATGTATATTTATGCGACATAAGTACATTTGTACGAGTAGTACGTTCTCGTGTCATGTTTTCCATACAACCACAAAGTCAAATAACAAATAAATAAACAAGTACGTCATTCCAACAAACAGGTTAAATTAGGTACATATGTACATATGTGTATCCCAAGCAATAAATCCTGTTAGAAATTTATTGACTTTGGAATGAAAAGGTGAAAGTCATATTGCAACATGCCGAAAAAAATAGATGTAAACCTCTCAAACCTATTCCAAATAGGTACATATGTACATATGTATATACTACAATACTATGCAATCCAATGCATTACTACAACGATAACGTTAAAAGATGAAGATTTAAAAATTTGGTCACCGATAATACGGTAGGGGCAATAATTTCAAATCATCAGAATGAAGCATCCTAGTGCATGAAAGTGGCTCGCATTTTTCGGCACGGACCCACAAAGGACCTGTGACTTGACCATAGAAAATGATAAGAGCTAACAAGAAATGATTCTTACCCTTATGAGCCATTTCCTCTAGAGATGGTAGCCTCTCAATGAGTGTTCCCGCTGACCATGGCGGCATTACAGTACTCATGGCCGTCGGTGTTGGTTGCAACGTAAACATAATTGATTCTGGATATGTAGATGTGTGTTTTGATTCTTTATTGACTCCACTGGATGTTATGTGTAAGTTTAATTAGATCGTACAACCACCTTTATGTACATATACATTTATACACGTACATATCTAAATTACATTACATACATATGTGCCAATTGCCAACATTTAAAATGACTACACAGAAAGCCTTCGAGAGCAGCGCGGTTCCGCGACTTTTGACTGCAAGCTACGCTCACGCTGTGTCAACACCGCGGGAAACAGACTACTATAAGTTTAAAGAATTTGTGCAGATGCTAACTGTGAATCGAAGGGATCCCTTTTGTTGGCGATGTCATGGGGACTGCACAAAAACAAATTAAGCTGAGCATCCGCCTTTGTTTTAATTCACTTGTTCATTTCGTTTGGTATGTATTTGACGCTTTCAATTCCTTATATTGGTACCAGCACTTTTCCACATTTTCACTTCACACAACACGCAGTGAATATTCGTTAATAATTACAAGTTCTGTGTATGAACATTGTATATGATTCTTGGCAGTAGCCGATGCGATTGCAGAAGCAGTCGCAATAGCAGTAGCAATACCAATTCCGATCTCGATTCCGATACCGACGTTAGCGTTACAATGCCGATTAGGCTCTAATTAACGATTCACACAGCAGCATCCAACGATCGAGCGGACCAGTCGGTCCTGTAGTTACCTTTGGAGCGCGGGTCACGATAAGAATGAATGTCACTGCTTGTTTGCAGTGTTTCTGATGTGCTAATTTGAGCTGGTGGTAGGTAGGCTCTATCTGATTGGTGGAGTGTAGCATGCACCACTTACTTGCCACATGGAATCAATTGTGGTTGGCCCGCCATGGCCCATGGCTGTCCCGCTCTGGCAGGCTCAAAACGAGCATCTGTGTGAGCAGAACGGATATCGACGGAGTGAACACGGGGGTTGAACTGAGTGCTGAATGCTGAATACTGAATACCGAATACTGAATACTGCAGTCGAATAATTGAAAATGTGAAATATACAAGAGCGCGACTCTATATGTATGTATGTATGTATGTACATATGTGCATGCATTTTAGCAAATTTATTTCAAAATTATAAAACTAATTCTAAACTTTAATGCTCTCTGTTCTAATCAGTATAGATGAAGAAGTATGAAAAATATGTTTCGAAACTGAAAGGAAAACTTTAGCCCGAAGCTACCAAAAGGCCATCGTTTGTTGAGCTTTATATTTCGCAGTACTCACATACAAGTGTGCATAATTGTATTTCATCCGTACATTAACAGCTTGCCATCCCACAATACCACACATTCACACACACATCTGTCAGAATTTGAATATTCCGAACAAACAGGAAAGCCAATGCCAGTGGCAGTGGCAGCGCCCAATCGAATTGTTTCATTCCGATACAATAACCGCTACACTCTTCCGTTAACTACCCGCACGTTTCCGCTACGGCAACGTACGGCCAGGCCACAGCAAACTCAGGCATACGCAATCTTCAAGGGGCGTGGGTGTGAGTGTGGGTGGGCGTGCGGTTGTTTTGCAAATGTCGACAAGTCTGAACATGGTCACACCCACTGCAGCCTCATGTGATGTGGGGAGGCTGGAATTTAATAATCGCTGGTCCTGTTTTCGCGTTTGGCCAGTAGCTGCTGACTAGACAGGGATGGCCAGATGCGCTCGTGTACTCATTTCGAAATATGCGTGGAATGCTTACAAAGTTCCTCCTCAAAAACACATATATAATCAGTAAAAACGAGGAAGAACGTTGTAACGCGAAGAGCGCGTCACAACGATCAGACTGTATATATGTACATACGTAAAGCGTACGTAGCCACTGCAAATGAATTTCGACATTCTGGCTATAATATTTATCCAATCTGACCCCTATTCGGCGATTTGATATGGCCATTCCTTACGGAACTGCGTTTTTAAATTTCTCTTATCTTTAAAATTGTGGTTGAGCGGATTTTCGCGCTTTGTGGTGGCGAAATTTAGAAACAAACTTGAAACAGTGTTATATATATTTACTTTCGAGCACAAACACAATATACCCCTTTTACTGTTCGAGTACGAACATTCAATAGTGTATGTACGTTATTGGAATCTATATTTTTGTTTAGTTAATACAGCAGGACCTCACAAATTAGAGCGCGCACAAATTATGATTTTCCAGAAACTAAAAATCCAAGTTGAATTAGTAATATGCGATTTTTGAAGATTTTTTGTATTACCTACACAGCTTAAAATTTGGGGTTCCCAAGTTATTTGTGGTGCACAAACGGTTGATATTGCTTGTTCAAATGTATGCAAGTTGAGTCAACTTTAGTCAACTAAAAGTCAACTTTAAAATTTAAAAAATTTCATCAATTTTGTCAATCTGAACATTTTTTCATGTTCAAATAATTAAATATTTATAAATAAATATTGTTTTATAAATATTTTAGGTTATTCTGCGTTTACGATGCCAAAAAAAGTATACAAAAGTATACTTTTCAGTAATTAGAATCACTACAGGAACAAGCGGTTGTAATTTGTGAGATTCTGCCTATTATTTCATATTAGATAATGTGGTGTAGTGTGTCATTATATCAATAACTTAGTTATTCTACTTTCCATGCGATGTTTCTAGTTTGTTTTCTTTGTTTTAATTTCGAAAAATTTAGTCTATGTAGATTCATCATTTCATCATCATTAAGCATGTACACATATGTATGTACATAAATACGTATGTATGTATGTACAAATTTTAACAGCTGGAGAACAGATCGGGAACAATGGAGAATAGTCTAAGGAATACTAGTCATATTTTTACCTTCAAAGTGTACACATGCAAACATATGTAAATACTGATGCATTGACAGATACCTTTTAAAATTGAACAATATTTGGGATTTTAATATGCGCAGATTAGATAAAAAAATTCGTGCGGTGCAGGGGTGGAAGTTGCGAATGTTCTTATTGTATTGTTTGGGAGCTGCTGTAAGTAAATCCCTCCGCAGGAAGTTCTGCAATCTGCACATTAAGTTCAGTCTAACTCTAATGCTGGGGCTCGGTCTCTCCGTCCGGCATTCGGGCAATTGCGATGCGCCACGTGCCGTCGACACGGTACATCCTCGTGCACTGAAAAGTTTTCCGCTCTGCCTTAGCGTTTGAGCACTGTTTCTACTTCTATCTGTGAGTATGGGAGCGTCTCGCAGGGTCCAAGTCCGCTTCCCCGGAGTTTGAACCAGTATTAATAAGTGAGATCTTAATAATCTCAACAGATACTGTTGGTGCGTGGTACGTACAGATGCACAGCCAATGGATATGAAAGGGAGCGCACGTTCATGCTGAGATGAGCATGCAGCAATACTGCGGCAGCTGCACTGCGTCTTGCCACAACCCACCCATGTGGGTGCACGTCCTTGTTTGCTAAGAGAGTGTGCATACATACATACATATGTATGTACATATGTACGTACAATACAAATAAAATTTTAATACCCGTACAAGAAAACTGTGTTAAAGAAAACATTTTTAAATAAGCTGTTCCATACAAAGAGGCATATTAGTACGTACATCCATTTTTTTTATATGTATATATACATATGTATATGAACATACATGTACATAAATATGTATAGTTATAGATATAGCTATAGCTATTATGCGAGTACACACCTAATTTGATCATTTTCAAGACATAAAATCCTGTTTGTACATAGAAGAAATCAATTATTTTAAGAGTTATCGATATTGGAAGCCTGCTTGACCAATTGTTCCTTTGCTGAAATCATATTTAAAGACCTTCCTGGTTTGGTATTCGCATTTTGGCTGCGTGGCAAGGGTGATTGAATGGCATGGCCCAGCCCAAGCACTTGTCACTTTCCGTTTTGTTTTCCGTATCCCTCTGGCAGCGTGCGACTTACTGATATCATAAGAAATACGCCCCATTTTCCACTCCTTTTCTTCTCCGTGTGAAGTCTTGCGTACATGCGATAAGCGGAACGACGTTATTTTTGTTATATATATTTATTTTACTTTTTCTTCAAAGCACAAGAAAAGCTGTCGCCCGCACTGCTAGTCCTCACACACTGGCTGCACGACTTCGATCCAAAAGTCAGATGGCTCATGTTAAAGATGAATTCCCATATTCAACCATACCCATACAATATTATTTCTGATAGCTACTGATTGCACATTTTGTATACTTTATGAAGAAGAATATTAAGAAGATCTGGTGGAGGCGCTGTTGAAATTATGATTATTAGGTATGGGTACTTCTTTTATATTTTTAAATAAAAAAAAATACGAATCATATTTTTGTAAAATTAAACCGATTTCATACAGTTGAGACATCAATATTTATCCAAAATTATCGTTAAAATCCACTTAATAATTAATTAATTAATACCTCTCATCAACTTTCAATGAATTAAATTTGGCTAGCCTACAAAAAATGTTTGATTGTCGCTTGCTCAATTTGTTTTATTAAATTACTTCCTCGTATTAACTGCAAGTATTTTCAGATGGAATGTTTGCAATCGACGTTTGCATGGAAACATAAAACACTTGATACACCCTACTCTTGGTCGTAGTAGATATGTGCCAAAAACATAAAAAATAAGAAAATCTGAAAGTATAAGATAAAACAAAATTATTTTAACAAATTTCGATTTTCTCAAATATTTAAATTACTTTCTTCTATCCCAATCCATGTGCACCAACCCCGCTCCTCCCTCCGCATTTCATACTCGTTGTCCGTGAGATATAATTTACAGAAAATTTGCTTAATCCATAATAAAACGCTACAATTATCGCACTTGAAAATCCCAGTTAGCACCGTCGCACCATTGGTCCCCCCACTGGGAATTCAAGTAACGAGCCATTAAACAATTAAAGCAGCGCTAGACTCAGGCTCAGAGCAGGAGCCAGAGCCGCAGCCGCAGCCAGAATCAGCTATGTATATATGTCCAGCCAAGCATTTGACCATCCAACCAAATACAAACAACGTGAA